GCGCGCTCGCCCGCCCTCCCCCTTTCGCCGGGCAGAGAGAGATGGATGACTTGTCAGACAAAGGCAATAGATTCCAACACTCTCGGATTCGCCAACGCACCGCGCCGAAGCCCCCGCGAGGAGGTCCGTCGGTCTGTCATGCCGAGCAGTGTGTGTGTGTGTGTGTGTGTGTGTGTGTGTGTGTGTGTGTGTGTGTATATATATATATATATGGTGGGGGCAAATCAGGGAAAGGCAAAGGAGGCGAGGGTTAAGGACCACTGCCCGAGAGGTGGAGGGGGAAACTAGCTGATAGGATCAACTCTTGATAAGGTCCGTGTGTGTGTGTATGTGTGTGTGTGTATGTGTGTGTGTGGAGTGCGCAAAGAATACCTTACTAATTCCTGCACAGGAATTCTCGCCGCTTTGTTTTCCGTGGGTCGGGTGAGATGGGCATTTTTGTATTTATTAGGTAGAGGGCCTCTCTTTTTCTGAGGGAGAGTTAAACACAAGTGTCCCCGTCGCCATTATTTGTTTAAATGTGGGAGGCCTCTGCTTTCATAATTTCAGCTGCTCTGGCCCAATAAAATAGTCAGAATCAACCTCCCCCCCCCGCAGTTGTTTCTCCGTCAAACTGAGCCTAAATAGTCGGATTTAATACGGATTTTTTTTTACCGCCCAGTCAGTAAAGTATCTCCTGTTTAAACGTCTTAAACTCCAAGTCCCTTTACCTTAATTCGCAGTTAAGAGACGGGCGGTGTGATTACCAAAAGAACTACGAGCCTGCCATCCCGTTCCAGGAACGGCGCTATTTGGAACGAGGCCCTAGAAGTTCCTGGGACTGGTCTTGGAATTAAAAAAGAGAGGATCTTGCAAGCAGGGGGACGGGATGGATTTCGGGTAAATGAGTGAAACTATTTAAAGGCAAGTATTTGTAGAGAAATAGTTTGGGGCTTCGAGAAACCTGGCTTGCTTTAATTGAGGTGGAAGGGTGAAAAACAAAGAAACAAATGAACCTCCTTTTATTTAAGACTTTCCATTGCACAGTCCGAACAACATTAGGCGGGAGCAAGGCTCATTAATTTACTACGGAGTAAATATTTTGGGGCATTTCGTGCTTCACATGGACATATCAAACGTCCCTTTCGGAGTTCCCCCCACCCCAATAAATTGAGTATGTTTCTAGGCCGGCACCTTCATTTCGCATGCGAAAAAGAATTCAAAAACGTCCCAAATGAGGCGAGGTATCATTCGGTTTTTTTTTTTTTACTTCGGTGTTGTTGTGTTTGTGTTTTCTCATTGTTGCTGCCACTGTTGCTATTGTTGACAAACACACACACATGCCTGTGTCTCTCAGTGCGTTGTGTGCAGGAAAGTTTGAGTTTTTCTTTTTTCGGTGACTGAGCTGTGGAGGTGGCTTTGACCTTAGAAACGCGTATAAGAAACTGAAAAGAGTCATTGACCTGAGGTTAATAAATAGACAGATGCGAATACCTGCCATTTGCTGGTCGCACCATTTTTTTGTTGTTGTTTTCTTCCCTCGGTCGCATCATTAGGCGAAAAGCCGTTCCGTCTTTTCTCTGCCTTCTTTGATTCGTCCTTCCCACCTCTCCGCTTATCTGTCACAAACTAACCTCTTTGTTTAATAACCAGTTAAGTCAAGAATCCTCTTGATGAAATATTTTCCTCCGTCTCATAAATCAAATTGGCACTTAAGCTGATGTTCCCGCTCTCTTCCCCTCCCCCTCCCGTTCTTCTTCGTCTTCTTCTTCGTGTTTACAATAGCCTTTGAAACAGACAGCGGTTTTGGCCACGATGTTCCACGGGTTCAATTAATTTTTAAATAGCTGGACGGATTTCTGGAGCCTCTCTCGCTCAGTTCAACGCGCCGTCTTGGCCGGCGTCACAAGCCCCTCGGCAGCAAAGACAGGGCCGGCATTTAGGGCCAGGGCTTCTCCACTTCCCTGCCTTCCAGCTCGGCCTGCTTCTACCGACGGGTCCACGGATCGTCCTTGTTATGTGTACATGATGGTAGCTGATGGAACTAAACGTGATGCCGTGTTTCGAACTTGCTATTAATTGGGCTGTGAGTCGTTGGCTGCTATTGCGTTATATTACGTAATTCCTCGAGATTCGCCAGTAAAATAACTTTTGCCTTGGATTTTTATCTTTTCCAGGCCATATTCTGTTTTATTTCCCGCACCCTTGCGAGTCTCTTTGGTGAGCACGCCCCTGATGTTTGATGTTGTATTGCTTTTCCCCGGCCCCAGATTGAATTCCCTCCGCAGACTTCAGACTTTTTCACTGACACTATTCAGGAAACCAGCAGAAGCTGTAGATCAAAGAAGAAGGAAACCTTTCCTCCCCCTGCCAGTCAGGGCGGGGTTGGAGTCTGGGTGGTGGCAGAGGTGGACTGCGCTCAGGACCCTGTTCTGGATACAGGTGGAATTGGAAAATAGATTCTCTCTGAGGGAAAGCTGGAACCGACAGAAAAAGGCGAGAAGATAACATCCCTTTCCAAGTTGTGCCTGTAGATGGCGCTGTACGGTTTGCTTTTTGTTGAACTTCTCTGAACAGATCCCGGGGAAAAAAAGTTTCAGCCCAACCAGATTTTAACTTAATCTCCCATCCAGTCGCCGGAGCAATTTAACCAATAGTTAAACAGTCTCTTGACACATACACACGCCTGTATGAGTGGGCCGTAGAAAAGGCAAGGAGAACTCATCAAAAACTTCATTTAAATTATCTTCAGCCCCTCTTCCCCCCTCTCTCTTTGATCTTTTATAAAATGAGGAAGTCCTTGGAATTTAACCTTACATCTCCAACAGTGCAGAACTTTTGCGATCCGTGGGGGAGCGCGGTTGGAAGAATGATGCTTCCAAGACTCCCAACCCGTCTTTAAACACAAACCTCTCCAGGTTCCTGCGAGATCGACTAACAGCAGTAGGTGAGGTCGAACTGACCGATTTGGTAGCGTCTCCCTTCCTCAGCAACCGCCCCCGCCCCCGTGGCCTCTAGCTCTGGGAGGTTGCTGTCTGCCGCTCCATCCAGCGCCATCCCTCCCTCTCGGCCAAGAGCACATCGCGGGGTTCATCTCTCTTTGGCCAGCTTTATGCAACTTTGTTTCCAGAATAGTTTCGAAGAAGTGGAAAGAGCGTGCTCGGTCTCTTCTCAGATCAGAAAGAGGTGAAACACATCGCAGGGTTCTCAGAATAGATTTTCTAATGGAATCTGGGCACAGATTAAAGCAAATCTGGGGGACAGCGTTCACACATTTCAAAGAGAACAACCTTTTCCAGGGAATGATGAAATTCCACCCAGGAGGGATAAGGAGAAGGTGAAAGGTGGCAGAGCCTCCCACGCACACGGGCTGCCCTCTTGTACGTACTGAGATACAGCCTTTAGAATCGCACGGACGTATTTAAGGAAACGTACCGTAATTGCAGCCCTAGAGCTTTTAAAAAAATAATCACAGCGTGCGAATGCTCCCTGTATAGCTAGCCTTGAAAAGGCCGAGATAGGGATGCCGTGTTTATTTACGGTAGTTATGAGGGTTGTATCGCTGACGTCTAAATAGACACCCGGAGCCCCAGATTCCGGGCAGCCGGGCCTCTAATCTCACCGCACAGTTATCACCTCGTGCCTTTTTCTAAGCAAGACTTCCTGGAGGGATTGCTTTGTCAACAATCAAATCCACACAACAATTCCTATCAGCCTGAGGGCGTGGAGGGGGAGGGTCATTCCCCAAACGCGATCCCTGAAACTGCTTTTCCTGGGTCCCTCCTCCTTCTCTTCCTCCTCCTCCTCCTCCTCTTCCTCCTCCTCCTTCCCAAACAGATGGAACGACTGGATTTCAATAACTATAAAGAATCCTCTCTCTCTCCCCCTCCCTCCTCCCCTTCCTCCCTCTGTTATCTTTGGGAAAACTCCCCAAGCCCAGCTCGCGGCCTGTCAAGCTTGGCTGCTTCCCCCGTTTTACTTTAAATGAATCTTCTTTCTCCTTTTTCAAAGAGGCTCTCCTGTCCCCGCTATTCATTCCTCACCTCCCAACTCGGAACATTTACACTTCAAAAGGGGCACCCGCCTTCTCTGCGGAAATTTGGAAGGGGAAAAAATAAACTCGGAAGGGGGGGGAGTTGGGGGAGATAGCGATCTTTGCCTTTGCTTCATTACCTCTGTTCCCCAGTTGATCAGGCCAAAATCACTGATCCCATCCAGGCCCCCTCAGATGCAGACGCTGCCCGAGCTCACCTCGGATATCACCTCTCCCTCCTTTATGTTCTTGCGGCCGTGAGGCTTGAGCCTAAAACCTAGAAGACCTTTGGGCAGGCGAGCCGACAGGCGGAGGTGCCGTATTTAAACCGCGCCTTGTAGGCCACCTTTACTTGCAAGACTGCAAAAGCGCACTACATTTCTCTGTGTGAAAAGGCGGACACGCACATTTCGGCCCCTCCGCCGTCGTGCCGTCCCCTCTTTCTCGGCTGCTTCCTCTTCTCCTTTCCTCCCCTTCGAAAATGACAAATCAGTTTAGATCGCATTCTTGCCCAGGAATTTGGCCTGCTGTTTCCACGCGAATCCCAGCCTCAGGCTAGGTCTGCTGGAGCAAAATCCACGAAGGGGTCTTGTAGTGTCTGAAAACTAACTAGCTTCATTTGGCCAATACTTTCGTTGGACTGGAGCCCACTACCGATATTGATGGAGACAGCCTCTTTCGACGTATCCATCGGGCAGTCTGTTCGGGCTACCCCGGCGAAGGCCTTCTGGAACCAGACCGGTTGAATTGTCAAGGGGTTTCCTCTTTGGCCTCATAAAACCGGTTTAGGCCTGAGGAACGTCCCCGGTGCCCAAAACGCTCGCTTTGGGAACCCGACACATAGAGTGGAAATCTATTATAATATATGTAGCAATTGAAAGCTTTAAAATAGGGTGGGAGAGAAAAGAGGGCTCAAAAATAGAGGGGGGGGAAAAGAGATATAACATACAGTATGGGAAACATAGGCCACACCAGGTGATGTGCATCCTTAGGAGCAGAGGACAACAGGGCTGTGCTAAAGTTGTTGACTGGAGGGGGGGCGGGAATTGCGGACGGATTTGTCAATACGGATTGGCTTGAAAATCGTCTCTGTTGCTCTGTTGGTGATTTCATTCCGAAATGAAAGAGAGACACGTATGGCCTGGGAAAACGCCAAAGAATCTGCAGACAGAAATCGCAGATGAGGGTGTGTGTGTGTGTGGAGGGGGGTGTCTAGCAAATCAGCGGCTTCGTCTATCTTGTGAAGTGGCAGTTGGCCACCGAGCAGGCCGGCCCTGTCTGGAGGCTTCAGCCGAGTCCACAACTTGGGCGGGTAAAGGCAGGACGTCCAGCCCCAAGTGTCTGGGTGGAGGGGATGGTATTCTTATGGCGGGGGAAGGGAGAGATTCCGCGGCGGTGCCATAATCACCGAGCCTGTTCGGAGTGGCCGGTTCCTATCTTGTGAAGTGGCAGTTGGCCACCGAGCAGGCCGGCCCTGTCTGGAGGCTTCAGCCGAGTCCACAACTTGGGCGGGTAAAGGCAGGACGTCCAGCCCCAAGTGTCTGGGTGGAGGGGATGGTATTCTTATGGCGGGGGAAGGGAGAGATTCCGCGGCGGTGCCATAATCACCGAGCCTGTTCGGAGTGGCCGGTTCACCCAGNCCTGGGTGGGTTCCATGTCTGGGGAACTTGACGGCTACGGGAAGAGAAGGCTCAGCCTGGGCACCTTGGCACTGGGCAGAGGGAACGAGAATGGATGGAGGGGAGGCGGGAGGGGGGGCGCGCCTGGTGTGCCTCCTGCGGCTGCGGCGCTTGTTGGCATCTTTTCTTCCTTTCTGGGCGACATTTGTTTGCGCTCTGTCGTGAGAAGCCCACGTGCGCGCCTCTTTATTGACGCGCCGACACTTTAACCTCTTCCCTTGACAAAAGAGCGCTTGCCACCAAACGGACCGGAGGGAAGGGGGGGGAGAGAAACCTAACAAGGCGGAGCCCTTTTTAGTGCCTCGCTGGGCGACGAGGGGGAGAACGCCAACAAGGGGGGGGGAAGGGGTTGCGGGGGGGGAAGAGGATGGCCAGGGGGACCAGGGCTAGGAAGGGCTGCCCGTCAGGTTCAGAGGCCAAACCCAGGAACGACCTTTCCCGGGGTTGCACACTTGCCACGAAAGCCACCCACCTCCCTGCTTCCCTGCCTGCCTGCCCCCCCTCCCGTTCTCCGAGCCGCCTCCTGTGCTCGGAGGGGATCGGGGGGGGGGATCCAGAGGGAGCTGCAAATATTGTCGCGGCGTTCACAGTTCGGGCATGGCCAGCAACCGCCGCCGCCGCCGCCGCCTGCGCACTCGGGTGCAGGAAACTGGGGGAAGGTGCCTGGGAGAGAGAGAAACAACGGCAGTCGCTTGCAAAACGGGGCGTGTTTTCTTCGTGGATCCGAGGCACCTTCCCAACCGCCTCCCCCCCCTTGCAAATGCAAGACGGCAACATTTTTGATCTGTTTGTGAACAGCCTCGCTCCTCCCCTCCCCCCCCCCAAAAAAAAACTTTGAATCGTTCGGGCGTCGAGAGGCGTAGGCGGCTGAGACGGGGGGAATGCCCCTGTAACTCGGTCTTAAATCTGAAGGGGGGGGCGCAAACCGTCTGCCCGTCCACCAATTATGACTCAGTTTCTTCAGGCCTCTTTCTGGACCTCAAATTGTGGGGGTTTGGTTCGCCTCTGGCTTTCCTCCCCTCAATAGGCCTTCTAGAGAGGATCCCCACCCCCACGGCTGAAGATAGTTTTGCCTTCTCTAATTTCTCCATAAAACTCCCGATGAGTGAATTAGGCGCTTATTAAAGTCCCCTTTTAATCAGCAGTAATGGGAGACCCCCCCCCCTCTCTCCCCCATCTCTCCCCCCCCCCCGCGCACTCCCCGCCTTCTTCCCTTGCAAGGTTGGTTCGCCTTGGGGCCTTTGCAAATGTTGGGATTTACAGTTATCACAGACAAAAACATTTATATAACCCCTAACTATAATACACCCATAAAAACAGGGACATAGGTGGAAAGTGCTGCGGATCAGCGAAAACCCTGGTGCTTGCCCATTACACTCCCCGGAAAGGGTAATTCCAGGACGAACCGGGCCAAAAGGAATGATGAGAGCTTGGAATTCATAATGCCCGAAAGGGAAAGATTAGAAAAGAAGGGAGGGGAGAAGGGGGAGCCTTCTCTCTCTCCCCCCCCACCCCTCGCCGCACTCCCGCAACACAAGCAACTCCCAGAAGGCCAAGAGGGCGAGAAGTTTCTTTCCAGACTTTTACATCAACTGAACGAATAGAAGAATCCTTTCCTTTCCTTATGCTTTTCGTATGGGCAGCTTTTGGGTGAGATCCTCTGTGTCAGTGACCCCCCCCCCCCGGAAAATAAAGGGGTTTGTTGTGCTCGTCTTTGTGGTTGTTTTTTTTCATCACTCTGCTGTTATCTTTCCATGTCATTACACTTGCATGTTATGAGAACCACTTATGAATGTTTTTCTTGGTAGTTCATGACTATGAATTACTTCAGGAATTCATTTTAACCAATGCAGATATTTTATTTAAAAAGCAAAACCAAAATGAACGTAACGAACGTTCCTTTTATAAGGTAGCATTCGTCTCCTCCTGGAATCATTTCAGTTTTATCACCGGGGAAGTGCTAATATAATACTAAGTACATTTGCAGGAAGAAGGAAAGTCTCCTCTGCGACCAAGAGGGAAACGGAATCCTTTTCTCCCCTTATTTCCCCAATCTGCTATTTGCAGGTGTGACATCAGTTTTGTCCAGCCAGAAAACTTTGTTTGCCATTTTTTGATCAAAGAGGATGTGTCCCTTCTCGGAGCCGTCGCATTCCTTCTAAAATTTAAAAACAAAACAAAACACGATAAACCTTAAATCTGAAATCTAATTAAAAAGTGTGTCAGTCCAAGTCACTTGACTTTGGCAGGAATTGCTAATGGTGTGTCTGTCTGGGCAGATATACACAGAGAGGGGCGAGAATCCAAAGAGACTCGGCAGGACGGGTGGGTGGCTATCAGGCGAAGGACTGAATTACAGGCTAGGAAAAGGACAGGTCGACAAAGGTGGTGGTGTCGAGAGGAGGCAAAACGCGAAGAAAAAAAAAACCACCCCAAAACTTCGTTAAAATCAAACTAACTTCAGAAATGAACTTTAAAGTTTAACCGAGATAATTACACCACGAGACAATTATTGATCAGCTGGTGCGCGAACCGTTTATGAGAGATGCAAATATAAAGGCAGAGTAGCATGTAAATAATAATATCAAAACAGAAGAAAATAAGAAAGGCGAACTCTTTGTTTAAGAGTGCACGAAGAGGCAAAGTAACTGCAAAAGAGAAAAAGAAAAAGAAAAGTGGATGGACAGTCAGGACTTCTTCTAAGGGTGGGTACCAAAGCAAGAATCGGCTGTTTCACACCATTTCTGTTCCGAATAATCACAAAAGGGGCCCCCACGCGAGCCCGATAAAGCACCGAGGGAGTAAACGGGATCAAGAGAACATCGCCGAATGAAAGGGAAGGAGGTTTGGGCTGGCGCCGCTCCTGCTCCTCTCGCGGGGACTGCCTGGCAACCCAGGCTGGAGCGCCCAGCCGCTGCACGACCGCCCGGCGCTTTACCTTCAGCCGAGAGGGAGACGTACCGGAAGGGAAACGGGGGAGGGGGCAGCGGGACGCCGACTGGGTGTGTGTGTGGGGGGAGAGGCAGGGGCAGGAGGGCTGCCTTCCCTGCGTTGCTCTGAGGCCTGGGTGGCCGCGCTGGGCCGGGGCTAGCCCACGTCCCCGCTCGCTGGCCACCCCCTTCCGCCGGCTGTCTTTGCTCGGCTAGGGGACTTCGCGGACACCTCGTTCCCCATCCCCCCCTTTCCCCCCCTTCTGCTGTGTGGGAATGGGGATCCTGACTAAATGGACGTTGCTGCAACGAGGCCGATTCCAGTCCCTCGACGCCTGTAAGTTCAGCAAACTTTTCTCCAGCATTCTTTCCGTGCGGGTATTTAAGGGAAAACCGTTCCTGCGATACGTTCCTTTTGGATGCAGTTCTTCCAAAAGACAAATCACGCTTAACTTTTTTTTTTTAATTACATACTTCCCCCAAGAATGTAGTTGGTGGAGCCTCCAACCTATATTCGTTGCTGATTAATTTCAGGTAAGGAAAAGGAAAGGGGGAGGCCTTTCTTGGTTAATTTCAGGTCGTTTGATTCTATTACCGCACGTCCAGTGCAATTTAATGTAGGGTGTGATGCGTGTACATTTTGAACGGCGCCTTTGTGCAAGTGAGGAGGGGGGGCGAGGAGGTGACCGCACCCCCTTTGCCCTCCAGGATTTCTGGAGGAGAGGCAAAGGCTAAAAAGACGGGCTGCCATGGCTATTAGGATGCGCCCAGCCTTCCCTTTGAATACATCAGTTCATAAAACGGATTAAGGGCGCCTGTCTGCCGTGCGTGTGTTTCAGCTTCAGAAAAGAGGGGCGGCGGGCGGAGTGGTGCGTGTGCGTCCGTGTGCGTGTGTGTAAGAGAGGTGTTTTCAAATACAATCCCTAGAAGTTTTCTTCTTGGCCCAGACAAGCGGGGTGCGATAATGATAATAGTCACATTATTACTGACGCTGGTGTGTGTGTATATGAGTCTACGGGGATATGGGCCGGTGAAAGGATAGAGAGCGCTTCTCTCCACGGACGAAAATGTCCATTTTTAAAGAGAGAAGGAAAGAGACGGAGGGGGGATTATTAGGAAAAGTACAGATCCTCCTGCCTTAGAGTTCCTTTCCGTTCCAGTTACCATCTGCCTGCTCCAGATGACCATATCTCCCTCCCGGGCCCTCAACCCCAGCGGAGGGGCGTTCGGGGCCTGGAGGGCCCCCGTAGAATTGCCCCCGGGGTGTGTGCCTTTACACCGAGGCAAGAGGGCTTCCTTCGGTCAAGAGGGGCAAGCCAGTCTCCCTCCCCCACCTTCTCTGGGAAGCTTACCCGGGGAATAAACACCGTTTCTGGGTTGTTAATTCCACGGCACTCGCTCGCCGCCACCCCGTTTCCATTTTTCATTCTTAAAAGGACGGGGCCGCGCGAGGGGTGTTTTGGAGGTGGGGGAGAGAAGGCAGCTCCCCTCCCCGTTTGCCGCTTGCTTGCTTGCTTGCTTGGCATCTGGGTCTCCTCGCCCGGGAAAGCCGCAGGGAGGCTGACCGGGTAGGGCTAAAGGCAGGCGGGAAGGGCCTGCAACCAGGGGGCCTCGCCGCGGCGGCGGTTCTCGCGGCTTCCAAAATCCGAGCCCTCCGCCGGCTGCTTTCCCGGGACCCGGCGGGCTCCGCCTGCCTCCACTGCGAGCCGCGGCGGCCGGGTCTGTTCCTCGCCGGTTCTGGAGAGACAAAGCCGAGCGCCGCGGGGGTCGGGAGGAAAGCGGGGGGGGGGACCCGGCGCCTTCTTTCTTGCCTTCGGGAGCGGGAGCGAAAGGCGGCGAAAAGGCCTACCAGGAGGCACCTACCCCGGCCGGCTCACCTGGTGGAGGAAGCCCCTTGCCGGGAGAAGGGGTAGGTATTTGAGGGGGGGCAGGGAGGGAGAGCGGGATGGCGGATTGAAGGGGGACTCCACGACATGAAAAACCACCCCCCCAAGCCCGAAAGTCTGCGCTTCGGTTTGGGAAGGATTTCGCCTAAATCAGCGGGGGATGCCTTCGAGGAAAGAAGGACGTTGCAGGAACTCCCGAGCTATAATAATACCCAAGATG